AAATACTCTCTGGCTATAGATGGAAGATGAACACGATAGTATGCAATGATACTAAAATGATTTATTTTTAGAGGCATAAATCCATTTAGAAAAAAACAGAGAGAATACAACAAAGCTAAAAAAAAAAAAAACACGGGGAGCTTAGAAGCAGAAGGATTAAATATATAATGCCTACAATTTTAAAATCAGGAAATAGCAGCAAAAACGTTTCAGGAATGAAAAAAATACCCAAAAAATCAGCTAAAAGATTTAAAAGTAGACATCCTTTAAGAATAGAAATTGGGGAGGGGCGCCTGGGTGGCGCAGTCGGTTAAGCGTCCGACTTCAGCCAGGTCACGATCTTGCGGTCCGTGAGTTCGAGCCCCGCGTCAGGCTCTGGGCTGATGGCTCGGAGCCTGGAGCCTGTTTCCAATTCTGTGTCTCCCTCTCTCTCTGCCCCTCCCCCGTTCATGTTCTGTCTCTCTCTGTCCCAAAAATAAATAAACGTTGAAAAAAAAAATTAAAAAAAAAAAAAAAAGAATAGAAATTGGGGAGAAATAGAGCAATAAAATGATTAACAACCTTGTGGCTGTTAAGTTCATCTGACTCTTCAAATGATGTACACATATAACTTTTAAGAAAATAAAAACTAAAAAATTCCTATCAAACGCACCTAAGGTTTTTGAAGTTGTTTTCTTTCCCCTCTCTCTCTCTTTTTTTATGCTTATTTTGTTTTTGAGAGAAAGAGACACAGAATCCGAAGCAGGCTCTAGGCTTTGAGCTGTCAGCACAGAGCATGACGCAGGACTCAAACCCACGAACCGTAAGATCATGACCGAAGTTGGATATTTAACTAACTGAGCCACCCAGGTGCCCGTTTTCTTTTTTCTATAACCGAGTGCTTTCCAAGTTTTCTTCAATGAACATCATGGAAGACACTGTCTTGCAAAAGAGTGAAACTGGACCATTCTCTTTCACCATACATAAAAATACACTCAAAATGGACTAAAGACCTAAATGTGAGACCAGAAACCATAAAAGTCCTTGAAGAAAACACAGGCAGTAATTTCTCTGTTATTGCTTATACCAACATTTTTCTAAATGGGTCTCCTGAAGCAAGGGAAACAAAAACAAAAAAAACTATTGGGACAACATCAAAATAAAAAGCTTCTGCACAGCAAATGAAACAATCAACAAAACCAAAAAGCCACCTATGGAAAAGGAGAAGATATTTGTAAAGGACATATCTGATAAAGGGTTAGTATCCAAAATATATAAAGTACTTATAAAACTCACCCCACCAACCAAACAATCCAATTATAATGGACATAAAACATGAACAGACATTTTTCCAAAGACATCCAGATGGCAAACAGACACACTGAAACGATGCTCAACATCACTCAGCAGCAGGGAAATATAAATCAAAACTACAATGAGATGTGTTACCTCACACCTGTCAGAATGGCTAAAATCAACAAAAGAAGAAAGAACAAGTCTTGGCAAGGATGTGATAAAGGGGGAACATCTTGCACTGCTGGTGGGAATGCAAACTGGAGCAGTCACTGTGGAAAACAGTATGGAGGTTCCTCAAAAAGTTAAAAATAAAACTACCAGCCCTCCCCCCAAAATACAACTACCCTACGATCCAGCAATCACACCACTGGGTATTTACACAAAGAATACAAAAATACTAATTCAAAGGGATACATGTATTCCAAAATTTATAGCAGTATTACAATAGCCAAATTATGGAAACAGCCCAAGTGTCCATCGGCTGATGAATGGATGAAGAACATTCCAATGGAATATTAATGGATTATTATTCAGTTATAATAAAGAATGAAATCTTGCCATCTGAAACAACATGGATAGAGCCAGAGTTGTGCGGCTCAGCTGTGCTGAGCAAAGGAAGGCAGCAAAAAGACAAATGCCGTATGACTTCACTCATAAGTGGAATTTAAGAAACAAGAGAGCAAAGGAAGAGAGAGAGAGAGAGAAAGAGAGAGAGAGAGAGAGAAAGAGAGAGAGAGAGAGAGAGAGAGAGAGAGAGAGAGAGAGAGAGAGAGAGAGAGAGAGAGAGAGAGAGAGAGAGAGAGAGGCACACTGAGAGACAGACTCTTAACTGTAGAGAACGGATGGTTACCAGAGGGGAATGGTTTAACTCAGTGATGTGGATTAAGGAGCGCACTTGGTGTGACAAGCACTTGGTGATACACGGGAAGTGCTGAATCCCTATACTATACACCAGAAACTAATACTACACTGTATGTTAACTAACTGAAATTTAAATAAAAACTTTAAAAAAGACATTGTCTTAGTTGTTTAAACCAACAACTACTTGATCTCCTTCCATTCTACTGGACCGTGATTTTCATCACTGGTCAAGTGGCATATGGAACCATGACAGGTTTAATTCAATCATGGTAACCGTTTTCCTCAACAAGGATTAGTTTACAAACGGGTAAGGGACAATTCTGGCTAAGACACATGAGGGCACATCTGCTAAGTAAGAGTGGTATATGTCAGGGGTGGGGTGAGGGTGGAGGAGGGTGAGGGTTGAAACAGGGACACTTTCTGGGAAGGTTATCTCTCATGATTTTTTTTTTTTAATTTTTTTTTTTTAAACGTTTATTTATTTTGAGACAGAGAGAGACAGAGCATGAACGGGAGAGGGGCAGAGAGAGATGGAGACACAGAACCGGAAGCAGGCTCCAGGCTCTGAGCCATCAGCCCAGAGCCCGACGCGGGGCTCGAACTCATGGAACGTGAGATTGTGACCTGAGCTGAAGTCGGACGCTTAACTGACTGAGCCACCCAGGCACCCCTCTCATGATTTTTTAAAATGTCATGAGAAAGGTACTGTTACCTTAAGCCTTTGGACGTTCTTTTTAGAGGCCATGATGTTTGTGGTTGCTATCACACCATGAAGAAAAATGCCTAAGAACAAAGCCAACATACTAGGCAGAGGAGACCTATGAAAAGAACCTGTGTGGCTCAGTTTCTGAATTAATTAAACCTAAAACCGCCCTAACTCTAAATTTCATGAAAGGAAAGAAAATAAATCCTCCTATTTCCCAAGTTATCTTTTACTTGAAGCCAAACACATCCTGAGATGTGTGTATTACCTCCATAATCAGAAAGAAGAAAAAAAAAAAAAATCAAGTTCCACCCTGTATCATGGAGTACAACGGCTAAACCATACACCACAGTTCAAAAATCTTACAGTTAACTGATGCATGCTACTTGAAAATGTCTAAGCGCAGCTCAAGTATTCTAAACATTTAGTATAAGTAACTCTTCCTGTTTTGGATCCTGTCTCCCTTTCTCTCCATCCCTCCCCCACTCATGTGGATGCACGTTTTCTCTCTCTCTCTCAAAAATAAACATTTAAAATAAATAAATACATAAAGCTGGTCTCCCACTTTGCAAAAAGTGTGTGTGTGTGTGTGTGTGTG